AAATAAAGATTTATTTATATATAAATCTTGATTATTCATTTCTTTATTTTTAATAATTGAGATTTATTATAATTTTTTAGGTAAAAAAATAATTATTTTTAATAAATAAAATAAAAAGTGAATAAATCTTAATTATTAAAAATAAAAAAAATAAATGATTAAAATTTTATATAAATATAATGCATAAAGTTTATACATAAATTAATTCTTCCTTATATATATGTATTTTGATTTAAAGACTACAAATATATTAATGATATACATTAACTCATTTAATATGATTATCACCTCATGTTACTAATCACAAACTTAAGCATCATTTGGTCAGCACTCTGGCACTAGACAAGCCTACTTTTTTCCTTCCTAGGAGGGCCACTAATCCATTTTCCTAATCACAAAAGAAGCTTATGGGTTAAGAAATATGTGGCCTTCTCCAAACCCTAAAAAGCAATAAAACAAAGAGGAAACAAAACCAACAATTGTTTATTTTTATTATTATATTTATATATAAAGGGTTACCCTCCTTTATTTTGGCTCCTCATTCTTCATATCCTCTCCCTTTACCCTCTGAAACCTCCTCCTGCCCTTCTCCTCTTTCTATGTTGATGATGTGATTCTCCTTATCTCACACAGACCCACCAACCTTTACAAAAGAAAGAAAGATCAAAGAACCACCATGGTTTTTTCCTCCATCCCAGCTTATCTTGATCCACCCAACTGGCAACAAGTAAGGGTTTAAATTTTGGTATAATTTCTTCGATTTGGTTTTGGTTCAGAAAAGCAAATTTCAAAAGATAAATATTCTTCTTGTTACTTTATGTTCTAGCTTGGATATCCCAGATATTTGATTTCTTTTGTTCTTTCTTCTTCTTCTTCGTCTTTTTGGGTCATTCCATTTCTGCAGCAACCGAGTGCAAGCACTAGCGCAGCGACTCAGCTTCCTCCTCCTCCACCTCCACAACCCCATGGTAGCGGAGGTGTTGTGGGGTCTATCCGACCTGGATCAATGGCAGATCGAGCCAGGCTGGCTAACATACCGATGCCTGAGACTGCATTACCGTGTCCGAGATGTGAATCTACTAACACCAAGTTTTGCTACTTTAACAACTACAGCCTGACACAGCCTCGTCACTTTTGCAAGACTTGCAGAAGGTACTGGACTAGAGGAGGCGCGTTGAGAAACGTCCCGGTTGGAGGCGGCTGCCGGAGGAACAAGAGAAGCAAAGGAAGCAGCTCCAAGTCTCCGGCCACCAGCAGCGATCGGCAGACGGCCTCCGGATCCCCCAGAACGATTTCCTCCGGGAGCACTGATGTTTTAGGCATTGGACCGCAGGTTCCGCCTCTGCGGTTCATGGCGCCCTTGCATCATCTCACTGAGTTTGGAACCGGCGATATTGGGTTGAATTATGGAGGAATTTCTTCACCTTTTGGAGTTGGAAATGACTTGAATTTTCAGATAGGAAGTGCTTTGGAGACTGGCACCGCAACTATTGGTGGTTCTTCTCTCTTGTCCGGATGGGATCAGTGGCGACTGCAACAAACGCCACAATTTCCCTTCTTAGGCGGTAGCTTGGATTCTTCCTCCGGATTGTACCCATTCGAAGCTACGGACGTTGAGCCAAGCGGTTATGGACCGGGCCAGGTCCGGCCAAAGATAACCAGCTCCGGGGTGGCCACTCAGTTGTCGTCAGTGAAAATGGAAGAGAATCAGGATCTGAATTTGTCAAGACAGTTGTTGGGAATGCCCGAAGCCGAGCAGTACTGGGGTGGAACTGCATGGACGGATCTCTCGAGTTTTAGCTCATCATCAACCAGTAATCCCATGTGAAGCTTCGGTTTTGTTAGTGTACGTGGCTTCAATCAAAGAAACTTATAATTAACTGTGAGAAGGAAGCTGGAGACTGAGGACTATTACTATTAGCTTCTCCTATCGAAAACCCTAGAATTGGTTAGTTTTTTTTTTTTTTTTTAATTAAATAGTTTCTATTAGGTTGCAATGTGCAATAGTGCGTGTATTTGCTTATGAAGTTTGTATCAGACAGTTGATGAAATGCACTTGGTGCAAAATTTGATGACCCGTTCGCTCTTTTTAATTTTATTTTTTTAAAGAATTTTTCTCTAGGAGGAGGTAAATGTTGCATTACTTAATCATATTTTTGATGATATAATCGAAATCTTGATGAAGAATAAGAAGGATATAGATGAGAAAAATTTTACATTTAGCTATATTATATGAAGCTTTAATTTAATTATTTTGAATGTTTCGACCTTTAAAGTCCAAACCCTTTGAATTTTGATTTTATTCCTAAGCTAAAGAATGTAATGCTTTTAAGGCCAGCTTTGTTTAATTTGATTAATACAAAGTTGTACCATTAAAATGCAAAGTGTTATTCCGTCCTCTTTGCAATTAATAATGGATTGATGGGTCAATGGCAGAATTTAGTAGTCAATGCAGCTCCCTTTTTAGTTGATCCCTATTGCATTTCAATATTGTTTGTTAATTAAATTGAGAATGATTTGGTTTGCTCTTTCGCATTCTTTTATACTATAACTTTTTTTAAAGGAGGAAATTGGTAAACTTTTGAATGTGAAGTTGAATTTTGTTGTTTCCAAAAACAACATATAGAAGGATGTTGTTATCGATAACTGCTACAAATTAAAGAGCATATACATCTTAATTATTATAGCATACTTATCTCAAATCTCAAGTGAATTGAAGATTTTGAAAATTATTATCTGCTTATTATATGATGATGACTTTGTATTTGAATGATCGAGGCCATACCACTGAAATATTCAAAGAGAAAAAGTAAAAGCCCAATTGAATCTTTGGAACTGATGATGATCTGAGTGAAAACATAATCATAAAGGATATAAATTGATGATTAATTTCTGCCATTCTTTCGTCTCTAAAAGCCACTGATCAATATAGTCTAGTTTAGTTATATTTTTGGATTGGTGACTCTAGAATTGGAACAGCTGTTTCGAGGCAATGGTTATTGCCACACACATTGTTAAGATAACATAATTTTAACTTATATTTTATTAATTTATAGCCTATTTTTATTAAATAATTAATTATGATATTTATAAATATTTATAAATAAATTGATTTTAATTAATTAAATAATAGATATCAATTTTTTTTATAAGTTTTTAACTATTTTTAATAATCAAATTAATAAAAATCAATTAAAATTATGTTACTTTAACAAATATATATATATATATATAACCATAACTACATCTTAATTTAGGTGGTTTGTTATAAATTTATTTTTTACCTTTACCAAAAAAAGTTTTTTTTTACATACATTGAAAGTAACTGCCTATCATTATTGGACTTTGAACCCTAACTTTAACATTGAATCAAGATGTTTTTTTTTTTTTCATTATTAAGAATTAATATGGCTAATTAAGCCCTTGTTGGTTGTTAGACATTTGTATTACTTAAACCCTTCGAACTCAGATATAAAGCTTATGTGATTTATATATACACCCATTTTATATATGCAGCAATAGCTGACTTAGTTCATCCCTTAAAGCAAAATTTTTTTTCCTAATTACCCACAAAACTTAAGTTAAAAAAGAGAAGGAAAAAGAACCAAAAAATCGAAAGGTGTTTTCCACGTCAACTCCTTTAATTAGTATCCAAGAAGAATCTGACTAGCTATAGGCTGCTACCTCTTGTTCTGAGACTACTTTCTCAAGTTAGTATCCTTTAGTCCACATTTTATCTTAAGAGGTCCACCTAGTAGATTTTAATGACTCGGTCCCCTTATATTAACGATGCATGCTTATTTCATTTTATTTATTTTTTGGCATGTGGGTGTAGGGTGTTGAAGAATAAAGACAAAATAAATCTTAGACTCAGGCGGTCAGGCCGACTGCAATAGCAAAAGGGGATGATATGATAATAATGTAATAATGGTTGAACGTATACTTGATCCACATGGGCCACAGCCTTAGTTAGAACAAAACATTAGTTAATGATTAATTAAATAGTAATAACAAACAGAACTCTCAAAAGACTCCAAAATGTCATTCGAATCCGTAACTAAAGATCATCTTAGTGTTTCAAAAAACACTATTTAGTGAATGTAATTCTTCTTATAGGATTTGTCCATCAAAAGTCATATGTTTCTATAAAGTTCTTCGGTTAATTCCCATTCTAAAATACCCTTTAAAATAACATGACTCTAATTTTTGCTCTCCTTACATGCATGGCTTATTCGAATAGCCATATAGCATCAAATAAATAACTACATGTTAATTCACAAGTAATAAACACTAAATGAATAAAAAAATTAATTATAACTACCACACAAAGACTTCATAGCAAATGCTAATATTGTGTGCTTACCGAAAATTAGAACAAAATTATTGTAGGAAAAGCAAGCATGTCATAGGTGAATCTAAACGGGAAAAAATATAATTATATAATTATATAATAATAAATTATAAATTTTATTTAAACAGATAAAAATACTCTTTACATTGTAAATAATAAAATTTAATTATCGATGAATAAAAAGTATTTTATATTAAAATATTATGTAGTAATTAATTATATCAATTTTAATAAGAAATGACATTACACGTTTCCCCATGCGACAAAGTACTGGTTTCTCAGTATGTGGGCCGGAACTGCCGCTCCTAGACGCGCCTTCACTGCCGTGTGGAAGTCTGCACCATCTTCTGAACTTCCAATGGTACTGCCTGTAGGCAGCCGGTTTTCTGCTCTGATTTCTAGAGAGCGGAAACTGTCATATTCTTGGTTAATTCTTCTGTACTTTGAAAATAAAAAAAAATGATTCATATTTGAACTGAACTTTCGAACTTAAATAGCTCATTTTACATTTTACAATGTTTGAAAGTGGTTGATATTCAAATTTTAAGGTATTTAAATTAATTGAATAAAGTTTTAAAATTTATCAATATTTTAAAAAATCCCTTTCTTTAATTTCTCAAATGGTAAAGTGTTAAAAAAAAAAATGATTCACACTTAGCACCTTATGTTTTTTTTGATAAAAATAATAATTAATAAATTAATATTATTAAATATTAACGATCAAAAATTTGATACTCAAACTAAGTAAACAATCCACCTGCCTCGAATGAAGTGCGCGGCCCACTTAGCACCTTATTGGCCGTTTGGTAAATGGTGCGGCCTCCTCGTGAGCTATAGCTATAGATTCACAGTTTCAAACCCTTTCCGGCCCCTACCCCAAAAATTGTACTCATTCACAAAGAAAAAAATATATTATACTTAAAAATGTTCTTCGGATCTTTGGATATTATAAAGATTTAAGAAAAAAAAAATGTTTTGCAATCTTCACCAAATCAAACTACTAAACACCAGCTATCAAGGAAGGGACTTCTTGATTGTAAGGGAATGGATTTCTATTTAATAACTGGTAAATGCTTTATAATTTGGACCAAAAAATTATTGTACTGATAAAAATTTATATTATATTATTGTTAAAATTCATTTGTTGAATGGTTACTTAAAAATTATGAGATTTTTTTATTAATAATTTAAATAATTTAATAATAATATAATTTTAATAAATATAAAAAATTACGAATTCGTATCGCATAATCTATGAGTACGGAGAGAAATACATCTTCTTATATAATTTTTTTTTTTGAAAAAAAAGGAAAATTGAGATTTTTAGATTATATTGTTTCTAAATTTACAAAAATAAATTGAAGTTTCAAGAATAATTTTGTTTATTTGAAGGAGCAAGGCAGTATTATCTTATATGTATAATTTCAAGTTATAAGTCCCTTAATTTATGTTAGGTAGGGCTCAGCACTTTCTTCGATTTTAGTTATATCGTGGCTTTGTCAACAAAAATTCCAGACATCTTTTCCAACACAATAGGTTAAGTTTACAACAAAATGATTGGTTTGGGACTTCCGAGGATGAGTGTAATGGATAACATTTACACTGTTACCTTTCGAAATTGGCTCTACTCCATCTTATTGAAACAAATAATAGTTAATACTCCATTATAAGAAGGTGATTATATTTCATGTATCTTATTGATGATGCACAATATATAAGGTAGTTAGAGTTTCTTGTTTTGTTTGGACCATAGTGAGTTGCAAAATGAGATGGTTAGATGGATAGAACCCCAATATTAAGTGATTTACTATTCATTTAATTGTTTTTGTTATGATCCCTAATATAATTTAAATTGCAAATAAATTTTTGTATTTTTTGTAATGATTAATTTTTTTATACTTAAATGATTGAATCATAAATCTGTGATTAAAATGTAAATAATTCTATCGCTAAATTATAAAGTTAATGGCTTGTAATAATTAAAATTTATTCATTATAAATTTATTATATTTCATGTAGGTGGAATTGACGATGTTGAAAGAAAGGAATCTAGGAATGTTTGGATTTGCTTTTGCAAGACCCAAGGCGAAGGCTGCTTACCAAGAACGAATAAAGCACATTCAAAACCTTCAAATTAGAAAAAGGTCTTCTCTCTCTATCTCTCGATCCCTCAAAACAAATTCTTCCACTCATAAATAAATATAAACAATAATCTTGTACTAGTTTGGTGGGGTGATCTCGGTCAGACAATGATCCCCGTTCTTCGCTCAGTAATCAAAGGAGAAATTGTCCATATAAAGGAAAAAAATACGATTGGTTTTAAATGAGATTTCCTTCACTAAAAGTGAAAAAATAATCTTACTACGAAACGGAAAGAGAAGAAAATCTATTTCTATTTCTATCCTTTTTCTTCAATAACTTCATGTTGTGATGGCTACATGGGTTAGTGTGCTGTTTCTTAGAAGAACATATATTGCAGCTTTCACTTTTGCAATTAACTGGGGACATCTTCCTCTGGGGTTTAATTAGGTTCTATTTGTAAACAATATAATGGTGAGAGAGAGAAAGAGAGAAAGAGAGAGAAATGAGAGAGACTTGAGATTCCAATTTCTTCTGAGTCCCTCACGTTCCCCATATGTGTCAATCTCAATCATACACCTTTTTTTTATAAAGGAATGTTTGGATTTTCATTAAGGAGTGTTTAGATTTTCATTTACAAAAAAAAAAAGTTATTAATTGTTGATTTTAATTGAATAAATTAAAAATTTTAAACTATAAATAATAAATATTATCAAAATATTAATTATCAATTATCAACTTCATTTAAATCGCTAATCCAAACACCTATAACCTATTTCAATTTGTGAACTTTAGATGCTCATCTTGAAAGCAATTTAAAAAAATAATGAAGATGTTCTATATTTACATATTTCCCAATAATAATTTTAATTCAAACTACAAAAAACTATCTCAAAATGTAAGTTATCTTCTCATCAATGATTGCTTTTTTGCCTTAGCATTCTAAAAGTGCATTCTGATTTCAAAAACCCTTGTTGTTAAGGAAACCTTATTTGGGACTGTTTGTTCCAAATCATGTACTGTGATTCTCTTTTTGCCTTTGCCTGGAGTGACTCTTGAGTCAATGTGTTTTGTGTATGTCTTCCTTAATCATATACATTCCTTCATCTCTGTGGCAGCTGCTTGTGGGACCCTTTTGAATAAACCAATCAAATCAGTTGATAGATTTCTTTTTAGGTCGACAGCATCCTATGTAGTCACTTTTTAGCTCATCGAAGAAACTCGGATTTGTATATGGCCATTGATATTTTACCTAGTCGCCCTCCATATAGGAATTGGATGCCACATGGCCCTTTGATTTATTTTTACTATTCCTGAAATGAGAGTCTCCACAATAGTAAAGCGCGGGCCAGACTATTGGACTCAAATTGGGCTTTTAAGTACAACTCAAGTTAATGAGGCCTAATCACATAGACAATTAAGATTTTTTTTTTAATTTAAAAAAGTGTTGTATAATTTAAATTATTGAATAGAAGTAAATCTTTTATATTAGAAATTATTCCCATCCAATAATTTTTATTTTGTGTATTGAATTGCAAAATAAAAAACTTTTTCTCCATAATGGAATGATTAACTTTTTTTGTAAAAGTGATCGTAGTCACTGTTTCTTTGCCGAACCTCATTAAGACAACTATTCTTAGAACCAGATAGCGACAATTGGTTTTCTAATGGATGTTGAGTAACACTAGTTTAAGATGATCACACATAATTTTTTGCCTTTTGTTTAGTGTCTTATTATTTGCTTGATGGTTTGCTAATTGATGTTGATTAATACTGGCTATTTTAAGATGATCACACCTAATTTTTTTTGCCTTTTTTTTAGTGTCTTATTATTGCTTGATAGTTTTCTAATTGATGTTGATTAACACTAGTTTAAGATTCACACATAATTTTTTGCCTTTTTGTTTAGTGTCTCATTATTGCTTGATGGGTTCCATCGCCAATTAGATAGGAGCCTCATGGTTTAAAAAAAGGTTTACTCAAGACAATTGCAGCAGAGAGGAAAAGTTAGTGTCGTCAGGGAAAGCTTCTCATAAAGTGATGACAACTGAAATCCCTCTTATCCATCCCCAGGCAGCTGGTAAGGTCAGCTTCCATAATTGAACCCACACACTCATACATTTGTTCTGAAAGCTATTGTATTGTATGACAATTATGTTCCATACAGAATGCAAAGTGTATCATGACCTCCTAATACACAAAAAAAAGGTTGCTCTGACTACACATTAAAGTAGAGCAACTGAGATTATGGTTATACCATTCCAGGGGGATATATATTATTGCTTTCACTTTTATTCTCTATGATTAGTAGAATTTGTATCGTGTTAAACTTGGACTCTCTTTTTAGTAAATTTGTGAATTCGAGTCATGTTTTTGGAAATTGACATCCCTTGATAGGCATTAATCCCACAAGATATCACAAAGAGGATCATATGTTCCAAACAGACCCGCTCAAAGTAGAAGGGTGACTCCAAAGTTCTCAAAATATCCTAAACTAAGATATGCCAAAGTTCTATCCAATATTGGCCATCACTCATCACGTTACGTTGTTTTCACAAAAGGAACATCACAGTAGCTCCACTTCCATTATCTACATCAAATCACGATTGTATCGTATGCTTTACCATGCACGACAGGGGCGAGAAATCCAGATAAAAAGGTAAGTAAATCAAATGTTGAAAACCGACAGTAGATTTGATTAGTAACATGGGATGAACACAAACACATCCTAGAAAATCAGATCAAATTAAGAGTGGCTAATGAAAGTTGCAGGGCAACAGAAAATCCAAATATCTGGGGTAATTCAAAATTTCAGAGTTTTCACGTTTGGTTGTAAGATTAGAGAAATGCATAACAAAAATGATCTGGAATCACTAAACAACAACATCATCAAAAGATTTATGAAGACAATTTCAAACCATTTGGACCTTCCCATCACTTTTTCTTCTCATGAGATGCACCACCAGACCTGAAAGAAAACCCACAAAACAAATTGATCAATAAACGGTATCAACACCTCAATTCTGGTATGCAGAAATTATGGTAAATTTTGATTGAATGGTGGCAATGAAAATCAAAATGCAACCAAATAGTCTCCAAATAACAGCTGACATATATATATAACTTCAGCAATCAATATCACAAAATGTGCAGCAATTCTAAAGGTTCTACCGTAAATCCTTTGTAAAGCACCTACTTCCCACCACAAAAGTCTTTCACTAAGGCGGAGCCAAATTATGGCCAGTGGGGGGCAGCGGCCCTCCCTGGCTTTGGAGAAAGAAATTAGTTTGTGGACTTTCAAGTTTGTAATTAAAGTAAATTTGATCCATTTTCAATCATTTTTATCCTTAAAATTAATATTTCTTCCTTTTCTTTTTTGTCATTTTCTTGTTTATTGATCTATTGGGAACCCTAGGTCATGATTAATTTGCGTACTTTAGGTGACAATTAGGAAGATTAGAAAATGGAAATGATATAAAAGATGAGAAAAAAATGAAGATTAATAAAAGGATTTTTCTAAGGGCACAGAATAAGGGTGCAATAAATATACCTTTTCATAATTAATATTTATTACAAGTATAAATGCTGACTTTGATTTAATCAATTAACAAATTAAAATTATCCATGTGTTAGTGATGTCAAATATATGTCAACTTCTACCATTTTTAATATAAATTATTTATAAAAAGATGCATTTATTACACCCTTAGCACACAGGTTAGACAAACCCATAATAAAATTATGATGTTTACATTATTATCTTATTTATTTTCAACAATTGTTTCTTTGACAGTAGTTTGAAGTATTATTTGTAAACAATTAATCTCTGTTCAAGCTTATTTAATTTATATTTGAATCTAGAAATCTTTTAGACATATCAAGTATTATATATTAATTTATACTCCAAAAAATTCTTGTGAAATGTAGTATGTTAAGTAGTGACTTAAAAATTCTTCTCCTAGTACTCATGAGTTGCTCAATTGGCAAGGTTCTAACCCATGTATGGTTTATTTTTAGGTTCAACGATATTTAAGTAATTGATATTTGACTTAAATATCACTATGAATCTCTATTATAGTATAGGGTTAGCTTGATCTTAGACTTTTCGACTCTTTCTTAGCATAAACTTTCTTTATTAAAAATTATGCTCCTAGTACTCATGAGTTGCTCAGTTGGCAAGGTTCTAACCCTCGTATGGTTTATTTTTAGGTTCGATGATATTTAAGTCATTGATATTTGACTTAAATATCACTATAAATCTCTACAATAGTATATGGTTAGCTTGATCTTAGACTTTTGCGACTTTTTCTTAGCATAAACTTTCTTTATTGAAAAAAAAACAAAGCCCCCCCCATAACAACAATTCCTGGCTCCGCCACTGCTTGAACTTGTACATGATTATTTAACAAAGATAACCATAGTGCCAAAAAATATAGAAGAACACTCCAGGCATACAATAGCTAGTAACAGCATAAAAGATGAAAAAAGGGAAAGAACTGACCTCATCTTGCGGAGGACACTGGACATTTCTTCTCTCTTCTTCTTTGCCCTCTTATGAGTACCCAACTTTCTCTTGGCAACCTTGAGTGCACGCTTATCCTTACCTACCTTTAGAAGCTCAGTAATCCTCTTCTCGTAAGGAGCAAAACCCGCAACTTCCCTTATCAGTCCCCTCACGAACTGCACCCTCTTGCTTGTTTTCTAGAGAAACCAAATCGAAATGCCAAAACACAAAATAATCAGAACTTTCCCAACAACATTTGATGACGAATTTTAAACGACAAAAAATCATTAAATGACGCAACCGGAACTAAATCACTACTCACATGATCAAACCCAGATCAATGTTAGACGAAATAGAAGAAATTCATAGGAAATAAGTGAGGAGATCACATACCCCCTTCCGATTGGAAGGACGAGGAGCCAACTCACGCTTGGTGACAATGTGGCCTTTGTTCAATCCGACAAACAACCCACTTTTGGGCTGTAAAGGAGCCATCGCATACACCTGGTGATACCTCCGACTCCGGTGAGTGTTCGGAGCAAGTACTTTCGACGGTTAACAGGCGGAAGGGAAGAGAAGACACAAAACCCTAAATTTTGCTCGTTGAGCTGCTGTGTTTAGCCGAACTAAAGGTGTAACTGGGCCATCCCAGTAGGCTTAAGCTCATCCAAGCCCATTTCGTGATATCCAAGGATCAAAGCCCAATTGTCTGGACTCTGGTAGAGGCTTGGGCAAAAATTTCAAGGCAGTGTTTCTTTTGAGAGCCTTTTTTTTTTTTTTTGGTTCTTTTTTTAAGTGCTACTTGAGTTGATTACTTGATGCCATGTCCTCAATTGATTGAATTTGAAAGTTTTGTTTTTCCTATAAATGTATGTAAGCTTCCAAAAACTCAAAATTTGGTGCATCCTCTTCCTCCTAAGAAGTTAGAAGAAATCACCAAATCATGTGATGTATCATGTATCTAATTAATAAAATAAATATTGATTCAATGTTCAGTTGTTGGTTAGATTCACCCATCTATTTACCTTTTTTATTATTTATATTAATGTACTGGAAGGTGAGGTTATCATTTTTTTAGTGGTTTTTACTCCAATGTCTAAATTTGAACCAATACATCTTTTTTTTTATAAAAGAAATAAATTGTCAGTACTAATGACTCATGATATGTTGTGATTGGGAAGACAACTTGGGTCTACAACTCCACATGAGCACGAGAAGTGAAGTTTCAGGCATTGACTAACAATGTTTAATATGTGAAGACATCATTTTAAATTGTATAGTAAAAAAAAAGATATTATCTTATATTTAAGATTAATTTATTAGGTCCATAAGTTTTTATTAATGTAGGATTTTTTTTGTTCTTCACAACTCACCATACCAAGCAACACAACCATGTATATAGATCATTATTTTTCTTGAAGGTAGAGTTTTACTTCTATATAAGTGTATGTCTGAGACCAATGATGTTGGACATGTTGTAAACATATTACCAAGACTGTTGGCCTCCTCTTAGACTCATATTTAAGCTCAAATCATTCATCAACTGGGTTATGACCTAAGTTGAGGTCTTTTTAGTTGCATGACAGCTATAGTGAGTTCGCACTTACCCAATCTTCATTTTCGAGATGTTCGCTCTAATAGTCACGTCAGATCCCAATTATTTTATTAAGAATGTCACATGAATACCTCATTAAAATCTATAAATATCCCTAAGGGTTGCTTACTAGCTACAAGTAATTGAAATGAATTTAGAACTTTTCTTTCTTTCTCTTTTCAAGTATACCAAATTATTATTTATTTAAGTATCGAAGTATCTATCACAAAAACTAATTTCAAGCTTTATAGGTCTATTCAAAGAGAAAACTTGAATTGAGGAGGATTTGAAGATTTGTTGATTTGTTGCAATTACAACTTAATTGTTTGAATCTAAACTGAGATGAAAAAAATGACTTACATTATGGTATTTACTTATGGAACTATATATTGTCCTTTAAAAATAAGTAAGATTTGATTGTGAATTTGTTATGAGCTGGTTCTTTTTCCTTTTTCCTTTTTTTTTTTTTAGAACATGGGAAAATTTGGGGGGGAAAAGGGTAATTTTTTACAAGTGATTTTTTACTTCCACGCTCATGCCTCCAAGCTCTTATGTTGAGAGAATCGAGAGATGAACCAATTCGCCCATGGATTTGGATTGGTCATTTTCCTTTTTGCTGGAAGGCAAATTTTAGACAAAGTTGGTGAGAACAGGTAATTTTTGTTTGAATTGTTGATTTGGTAATGTTAATTAGTACTGCTGCCTTTGCTTTTAAGCTGCTTAAACCGACCAAAAAGTATGATTAAGAAAGAGAAAAAGAGAAAAAAAGCATGTAGTAATTTTTAATGAGGTAATAGTAATGATTCCACAAATAATTACTAATACTACATAAAAAACACAATTAATATAATTAATTTGATTGTTATCAGTAGGTCGTGGTTATAATTTTTTAATTAATAAATAATAAAACAATTAATGTTTATCACTTAATTATTTAAAATGATCTTATAAATTAATATTTCTAAACACCTTAATTAATTAATTTTATAAATTAATAAAATTAAACAAACAAAATAGACTTATAATTTTTTATGGGTCCTTAACAAATTTGTGTAGCGATAATCATAGGCTTTAATAGGATTGGGTGGGAGAGGAATAATGTCTTAAAAAAGCAAAAGTTCATGTCCCAAATATATGAATTACCCAGAGAAAAACTGTTTTTTTTGTTTTTTTGAACAAAGGGTAATTAGCATTGCATTAAGGAAACTGACCCAGAGAAAAACTGTTGTTCGACCTATTTCCTTGCATGTGAAATTATAGTTAAAAATTCTTTTTGGAGAAGAGACAACAAGATATGATTTTGCATAATTGCCTGAAATCTCGGACCAAACTACGAGGAGCGACTGCCCCCAGTGCGTTAGATAGATAAGTCTTTCCTCTCTCAAAGCATTCAGACACAGCCAGTGCCACCACTGCCACTGTAACCTCCAGCCACCACTACCACCGCGAGGTGGCGCCTGAGGCAGTGTCTGGGTGCCCCAACTGCAGATACGGTGAAAAGAAGGAAGTGATGGGTCAAAAACTCAGTTGCAGAGAACCCCACGAGGCTGCTTTCCTTAGCGCCGTGCAAACTGGAGATTTGGAGATGGTGCAGGCAATGGTGAAGGCAGAACCAAGTGTCCTGGAGAGGACCACCGGATGTGCAAAGCTCTCAGCTCTGCATGTTGCCGCCGTGTATGGCCAGATCGAGGTTTGTTTCCCGCCTAATGATTGATTTTAATTTTTAATGGATTGTTTATGTCTTGAATATATACTTTGTTGGGACAATGCTCATATGGATTCTTTCTGGGTTTAGGTTCTTTCATTTCTTTTAGATCGATGTAAAAACCCAGATAAATTGAATCGCCACAGACAGGTGAATGCTCTTATTCATGATATATTTGTGTCCAAACTTGGATTCTCTTCATCAACTTGCATGTTCACATTACATGTTTCTGTAATTGGGTTAGACGCCATTGATGTTGGCAGCAATGCATGGGAAGATCTCTTGCGTGCGAAAGCTTATTGAGAGTGGAGCATATGTATGTTCTCATTTAGTACAAGATGCAAATTTTGAAATTTGGGTTTTATTGTGTCTCTTGATTGTATCTAGACAGTGATAGTGGGTTACGTTGAATGTTTAATAGGTATTGATGTTTGATTCTCTTCAAGGAAGAACTTGCCTGCATTATGCTGCATATTATGGTCATTTTGATTGCCTTCAAGCTCTTCTTTCCGCTGCCAGGAGCAGCCCTCTTGCAAATTCTTGGTCTGTCACCCTCTTTGTCTTTGACATAGGCATTCCCCTATCCAAGATACACGCATTGGATGGTGCTAATTGATACAATGTGATTATTTTTTTTCTTGAATTTGAGGGGATTGAAATATTTTGCAGGGGATTTGCGAGATTTGTGAACATAAGAGATGAAAGTGGAGCAACACCCCTGCATTTGGCTGCTCGCGAAGGGTGGTCAGATTGTGTTCACACTCTCTTGGATAACGGGGCTCTTGTTTGTGCTTCTACTGGTGGAAATGGGTAATTTTGTTGATTAAGGCCTTTTTTTCTGTTTTTTCAAGGAATCATTTTCAGTTTGGATTAATAGGGGGCCTCTCTGCAGCTATCCAGGGAGTACACCTCTTCATTTTGCTGCTCGTGGTGGTTCATTAGAGTGTGTCCGGGAATTGCTTGCTTGGGGAGCAGATAGGCTTCAACGAGATTCATTTGGGTAAGCCCTGATGAAAACAGAGACTTGTAAATATATATAAAGTTTTTAAGTCTTTAGCAAAAAATCTTTGAAAGGTTGGAACATACTGAGATATTGAAGGTTATACTACCGCAGGAGAATGCCTTACATCATTGCTTTGAAGAACAAGCATGAGGCATGTGCTGCCTTGCTGAACCCTGAATCTCCTGAACCTCTTGTTTGGCCAATGCCTTTAAGGTTCATAAATGATCTCAATCCAGAAGCCAAACAACTGCTTGAGAATGCCTTGATGGAGGCAAACAAAGAGAGGGAGAAAGCAATTCTCAAAGAGAGAGTTCACAACCTTCTACACGCCTCAGATTCTGAGGACGAAACTAGTGACAATGCCTCAGAGGTAATATGACATTTCACTTATCTTACTTATTTCCTCTCTGTCCACTAATTGTAATCTGAGTCTTTTAACATCTTTCGAATGTACAAGTAGTTTTGTCCTTTTAATTTACTTGTATCTGGTGAATTTTCTCAAACAGGCCATTGGTGTCGAGTTATGCTGCATATGCTTTGACCAGCTATGCACAATTGAGATCAAAGAATGTGGTCACCGAATGTGCGCTCACTGCACCCTTGCCCTATGCTGCCACAAGAAGCCCAACCCTTTAACAGCCCTTCCTGCAGCACCAGTTTGCCCCTTCTGCCGTAGCAATATCACTAAACTAGTTGCAACAGAGGTCACCAACAGTAATTCAGAAGCAGGGGCCAGTCCCTCAAGGCCAAGTTGTGGAAAGTCCACCAACAATGAAACAGATGCAGAAATTAGCCCATCAAAACCATTTAAGTCAAGGAAGTCCAATTTCAGTGAAGGCAGCAGCAGCTTCAAGGGTTTATCAGCCATCAGCTCATCATTTGGAAAGATGGGTACCCGCAGCTTAGGAAAAGTCCCTGTTGAATGCAATGAAGGGGATAACAAGCCTTGACCAGCAAGCCGCAGCATGCAGCCTCCAATCTTTCCTGTTGTCAGTTGCTGAGCCAGCAGAGGTAACGGTACTCTTATCACTATTTCAATGAAGAATCCATATCGGTATATACTTTGAGTTCCATTTTCTACCAGGGTCAAAGAACCGTTGTATATGGCAATATTACTAGAGATTGAAGGATGAGCCAGGGTACTATTTTCCAGGGAAATATAATAGAGTCAAAATTTCACTGGATCCTATTTCTTATGTCAAAGCAAATGAGTCTTAGCTCACAATACTTGAGTTATAGTAAACAAAAAATATGAAAATCAGGACAAAATGTCAAAGATGTCCAATTTTAACCATATGATATATATGATCCATAAAATGCCAGAATGTCCTACAGGGAAAAAAAATAAAAAAGGAAACTAAATTTGAATAGAAGAATTAGAAATTCAGGTCCGTCTGGATTCTAGAAATAAAATCTCTAGAAACAAAAAGAGATAAAATGTTCAATGATATGCCACCATTAAACAGTTTCCCACACATACACGGAAACAGCATGGAGACTCCACATCCATTGCAACGCCCCAATTCCCTGCCTTCTCTCTTTTTACCTTCTACACCCAAACTGCCATAAGCGGGTAGAAATCACCAGTCTTGTGAGCAGACGAACTCTTATTTCTTCTGAAAGCATTAGCAGCTCTCCTCTCAGCTTCAAGAAAGTGCCTTAGAGATGGAGGGGCGGCGCTTGTATCCACAGCATCAGTGCTTAGCTTTGAACATAATGAGAACGGCCAGGGTCTAGTCATGTAAATCTTGTGGTCCTTTATGTTATCCACTCTTCTTCTCCTGGTTGATCTTTGTGAGATCTCCAGAATGTTGGAGACGCCAATGGGGCTTCCGAGGGTAATGCTTCTATCATGGAAGAATGATCCTATCGACTGCAAAAAGAAAAAGAAAAGAAACATAGAATCAAATCATTACACAATCAAATATTAACGAAAGTATGCGTGAGAGTCACTTTGTTCACTCCAATCATACATATCTAGTTAGACCAACCTCAGTATCAAGATCTGAGGAAGAAAGGGTTGAAGACTTTGGGGAGTCAGTGAGCAAAGTACTGGAAGAAACTGACCCAGAAAGATCATGATTCCTCACCAACCCAATTCTCGCCTTCAGCGGTAGCAGGCCTAGAGGCCACCCTTCTTGCTGCATCCAAAACAATGCATCAAATGGGTTCAGAATAACCAAAAAAAAAAAACCTGAAGAGCGAACAATAGCTTGGGAAATGGGGAGAGAATGAGATGAGTGCAGTACCCGTTGAGCCATGAACCTCCTCTAGTCTACAATATATTGACGGTTGCAGGCTGGCTGCTAGTATTGATCCAGGCGGTAACCCAAGTGGCCTGAGAGAGTAGATTTGATGGAACTGTAGGAATTAAGAAGAGAAGAATTTGGAGGAATAAAAACAGCATTGGGTCGGCAAACAGAGAGTAGGAATGAAAAGGACCTGTTAGATAGATGTTATCGTTTCATTCTGTCATTTCTTTTTCAAGGATGCAGGGGAGGCGAGGCGGAGAAAGGACAGAGAGGGAGGGGAAGCAGTTTTGTCGAGCGGCAAGACCAAAGAGAGCAGAGGCGGGCCAGAAGGGTAGTATTCTTTTGCATGGTCCAAATACCTTACTGTCCTTCTTTTTTTTTTTTTTTTTTTTTTTTTTGCATAATTGGAGGGCAATCATTTTTAATCCCTTATCCCACTTTACTTACATGTTATAAACTCAAATTCAAGATTTCTTATTTTCAACGAAATGAGATGACCACTTAACTAAGCTTTTGACACCTTATTTTCCAATTAAAAACTCTAATTAGTATACATATATGTATATTCTTTGTTTTTCTATCATCTGCACATAAATTAAGGTATAATTGTTATATATATTTTTATATTAATTAGTATTAAAAAAATTAAATTTTATTTAAAGAATTGTGTAATTAAAATGATTTTCGTAACTATTTAATATTAATTAATATTTAAAAGGTGTAATAATTACATTTTTAAGGCATAAGTTATTTTTTTTTAATAAAAAAAGATAGGAAAAGTGATTCACACTTCAACTTGTAAGGGGGAGGAGCGGAGGAGTAGGTTACAATTTATGTGATTTGAATTCTCATCAGCGGATAAGAAAGCTTTTACATTCTAGAGATTTGGCTGTTTGGCTTGAAGGTATCAATTAGACAGTAATTACTTAACAAGGCCAAAAAAAACAGTGTTAAACTAAATGGGGACATTGAACCCACTCTTGAAAAAGGTGTGGGAAAATTGTCATCAACATATATTGTGTAAATTGTGATTTTTTTAAACAGAGGACGCAGAAAAGGGCTGAAAAATCTAAAAGAAAACTGTTTCGTCCTGTATTTCGAGGGAATTTTTTCCTTTTCCTTTTCCTTTCCTTTCCTTTCTTTTTGTTTTTTGGAAGCTTTTTGGCCCACTAGCTCTGTTCAGTCCAAGCTCCCACTCCTCCAGATATCAGTTTCTCAAGACAAATAAGCAGTGACATGCTGCGGTAGAGCCATTGTTTTGAAACCTGGATCAGACCGGTCGGTCAAACCGGTCAAACCACCACCCGGTCATGAAAACGAACTAGATGCATATCCAGAATGGGTGAGGCAATCCAACGGCCTAAACCCACGAGACCCGATAAAACCATCCAGCTCGGAAAACCTAGTAAACTCGGCGGGCCAAACTCAAATATGCCGTTTTCAATTTTTTCAACCATTTTTTAATTCAATACTTATTTTATACTTTTTTTTGTTTGATACCCCTTTTACCCTCCTCTACACATTACAATTACATGATAAAATACTTAAAAAAAACATAATTTGAATGCAAATCGGTAAAATCACTAAATCAAATCAGGAACCCTAAGCTTTCTTCTTCAGTTCTTCTTCGACTCGTCACTGTTCCTCCCCAATCTCCAGTCTGCAGTTCTCCTTCTCCAGTTCTCTAAACTCTAATCCATTGATTCTCCAGATTCCAAACAAATTGCAAAGAAGAAACCCAAAACAACGATTCCTTATCTCTTTCGTCTAGATTCAGAATCACACTTTTTTTGTTCTTCATCAGATCCTCATCTTGTCACCATCACCAAGGTCGTTCTCTCTCTCGATCGGTTGATCCTCATACTTCTTTTGTTTTACATCAGATTTTCATCTTCTCACCGAGGTCGTTCTCTCTCTGGATCCTCTTCAACCTGAAAATCTTTCTTCTTCGGTTCTCTTCAAGTATAGAATCACTTTCAGGCTTCAGCTTGCTGCCTTGCTCTGCATTTCGTTGCTTTAGTTGATCCTCATACTTCTTTTGTTCTACATCAGATTTTCATCTTCTCACTGAGGTCGTTCTCTCTCTGGATCCTCTTCGACCTAAAAATCTTTCTTATCCGGTTCCCTTCAAGTACAGAACAGTGAATCACTTTCAGCTTGCTGCCTTGCTCTGCATTTCGTTGCTTTAGTTTAGTAAATTCCTTATCTTTTTATTGCTTATTTTGGATTGGGTTTTGCTTTGCATTTTGATTTTTGAGTTTATTTACAGAGTATATTTATTTATGTGAAATTCAATTTGAATTTTGTTTTGGTATTTTGCATGTGCTGCACTTCTGTTTCAATTTGAATGATTAAATCTATTATTAATCTTTGTCATAAACAACTTGTCTGACCGTCTTTGATTTCAAGCATGCCTTTAAGATGCCTAATGTTCCATCCACTGCCCTATTCATTATCACTTCAACTAGTTCTCTGTTTCACCAGCAAGGATGAGCATCAATCAAAGGCTGCCTTGTCTATATCAGCTCTTTGATTATTTATCTAACACTTGATTGAAAAGTAGATAACTTAGGACAAATGGATTTTCCTCATAATTAATGAGACTTTTGTCCCATCTTTTAACTCACATGGGAGACTTTCTTTCCCACCTTCCAACTAACAGGGAAGTCTGGTTTTACTAAGTATGAACTTTGGTTCCAGCTACACTCTAGGCAACGAATAATACTTTAATGGAAACGTAATAGTATAAAATTCTTTTATTTCAAGGTGGGTAAATTAGTACATAGCAAACTTCATGCCTAGATGAAAAAGATTAATAATCTGTTTATGAGTGAACGAATGTTGTTTTAGTTTAGTAATAAATTTTTGTATTTTGCATGTTCATCTGCAACTGATTGAATCTATTATTAAGTTTTGGTTTTGTTATTTATGAGAATTACCAAGATTCTTGATCGTTGAAATGGATCTAAATACTTATTTGGCAATTTTTCTAGCCTTATCTATTTTGTATTGGGCTGCTTTAATGATTTTATTTTATTTTGTTGGTGAATTACAAAAATATGTCATCATCTAGATAAAATTCAACTGTTGCATCTTTTCAAACTTCAAGAGCCAAAACAGATGCAACATGGGAGCATTGTGTTGAAGTTATAGAACGCACAAAAAAATCAATTAAATGTCTGCACTGCCAAAAGACATTTAGAGGAGGAGGCATTAATAGAATAAAACAACACTTTGCTGGAAAGGGAGGAAATGTCAGAAAGTGTGATAAGGTGCCATTCAATGTTCGATATTGGATGCAACAAAGTTTAGTGAAATTGAAGAAAGTAAGAAGCAAGCATAAAAAGTATGGGAAAAGAATCCATTTGGACATTCTGATGGAGATGCAC